GGGGGTGGGGGTGGGGACGGCGACGGCGGCGGGGTCCTGCCAGCAGCCCCCGCCCTTTGGCCACGCGGGCCTGCGCCCTCGGATTGGCGGCCGCCTGATGGGAGGAGGAACCCTGGCCGCGCTGCTCGCCCCGAAGCTTCCAACACGTCTGAGGCTGCCCCTCCCTGGGCGCCTCCGCCTTGGGCCCCGGGTGCGGGTGCAGACGGAGAAGGGGACGGAAGTTCCTTCGGCAGGTGACGCCGCGGGCCCACAGGCCCCGGCTGACCTGGGACTGGTTGGAGGCCGTGCGGTCCAAGGGCGCTGGTCAGGGCCTCCGACTGAGTGCGGGGCACCACCTGAGTACAGTGAGCCTGCAGAGGGAGCACCAATTCTCACCCCCTGCTTCCCGGGCCCCAGGGAGGGTGGAGTGAGCTAATCCCAGTAAAGTGCTTACCCAGCCCTGAGCCAGGCATATAGATGGCAGCCTGCACCCACCGCAGCCGTCGAGGTGCGGAGTGCGGAGAGACCCGCCTCTGCCCAGCCTCCTTGGGTAGCCCTCCTCAGGGAAGGAGAAAGCAGCTTTCTTGTTTGTCCAGTTACTCATGGATGACTCAGACTGGTTTCTGGACTTGGTATTAAGAAATTAAGTGGCTTCTTATATAAGGATGGTGGCAGTTAAGCATGGTGGCAGTTAGTGCCAGGGTGTGAGAATTTTAAAATCTCCGTGTATTGTTTTACTAACATTTTTTTATTCTCCCCACACACGTCCCCAGCCCTAAAGTACTTAAGAGTAAACATTTCCTGAAAGCTGACCCTGGGTCAGGTTTTTTCATCTGATCTTAGTGAATTCTTTTAAGTCCTTGTATCATTGCAGGAAGAGTGGGTCAGTGAAGAAGTGACAGGAACTGGGTGGCCCCTAGAGAGGACCATTTCAGAGCTTGAGCCCCCTTGCCCCTGTCATGCCACACTGAAGTACCTTGATGGGGAGTCTGTCTCTGCTACTACAGTGGGAGGTAAAAACAGCTTCTTGCTCTGGCCAGTGTGGCTCACTGGTTAGAGTGTCAGCCTGGGCACCAAAGGGTTGAGGGTTTGATTCCCAGTCAAGGGCATGTATGTACCTGGGTTGCAGATTCCATCGTTGGGGCAGGTGAGGGAGGCAGCCAACTGATGTGTCTCTCTCACGGCAGTCTTTCTTTTTCTCTTGCTCTCTCCCCTCCCACTCTCTCTAAAAAAAAAAGAGGAAAAATATTCTCAGGTGAGGATTAATAAAACAAAACAAAAACTCAGGTTCTTCCTTGTTCTTCTCTGACAGGCTAAATAAAATTCCTCTCCTGGTGGCTCCCAACTTTTTTCCCCTTGAAAGCCCCTGGCCAGCCATCTGACTTCTTTCAATTCTCCCTTTCAGGCCTAAAGGGCGGTGGCCCCAGTGGTGGGAGCAGCGGTGGTGCTAATGGTACCTCCTTTAGCTACACATTCCATGGAGACCCTCATGCCATGTTTGCTGAGTTCTTCGGTGGCCGAAATCCCTTTGACACCTTTTTTGGACAGCGGAATGGGGAAGAAGGCATGGACGTTGATGACCCATTCTCCAGCTTCCCCATGGGCGTGGGTGGCTTCACCAACATGAACTTTGTCCGTTCCCGCCCTGCCCAAGAGCCCACCCGAAAGAAGCAAGACCCCCCTGTCACCCATGACCTTAGAGTCTCCCTTGAAGAGATCTACAGCGGTTGTACCAAGAAGATGAAGATCTCCCATAAACGACTGAACCCCGATGGGAAGAGCATTCGCAACGAAGACAAGATCTTGACCATTGAAGTGAAACGGGGGTGGAAAGAAGGGACCAAAATCACCTTCCCCAAGGAGGGAGACCAGACCTCTAACAACATTCCAGCTGACATCGTCTTTGTTTTAAAGGACAAGCCACACAATATCTTTAAGAGAGATGGCTCTGATGTCATTTACCCAGCCAGGATCACCCTTCGGGAGGTAAGGCAGTAGACAGAGTGTTGTCTGTGGAGAGACGGCTGCTTTTTGAAGCAGTTTGATATTTGTTTGACAGATATTTCTGAGTACTTGGTGCCTGCTAGACTTGGGGGATGCAGCAGGTACAAGGCTTATCAGGAATCCATTTTTCTGGAGCTTCTGTGCTGATGCCCTGGGTAGACCTGGGTCAGAGTCTTAGCTGCAGAGGCCTGATGACTCTTAACCCTACCCCAAACAGCCTCTGGGCAGGAGTGAAACTTCCTGAGGTATACCCTTCATCTAATGCTGTCACTTTGCTTTTCCAAGGCTCTCTGTGGCTGTACTGTGAATGTCCCCACTCTGGACGGCAGGACCATACCCATCGTGTTCAAAGATGTCATCAGGCCTGGCATGCGGCGAAAAGTTCCTGGAGAAGGCCTTCCTCTCCCCAAAACACCCGAGAAACGTGGGGACCTCATTATTGAGTTTGAAGTAATCTTCCCTGAAAGGATTCCCCAGACATCAAGAACCGTACTTGAGCAGGTTCTTCCAAAATAGCCACCTGTGTTCCCCAAGGACTGACCAGGGACCTTTCCAGAGCTCAAGGATTTCTGGACCGTTCCACCAGTTGTGGACCCGTGAGAGGGCGGGAGGGCCCAGGGAGGGCTTTCGTACTGCTGAATGTTTTCCAGAGAATATATTACAATCTTTCAAAGTCGTGCACTAGACTTCAGTGGTTTTTCGAGCGATAGGGCGGCAGGTGGTGGTGACAGCAGAAGAAGGCATTCCAGTTTGCCCCACCGGGTCCTGCAGCCCTCCTGGGATGGGCCCACCCATCCTCTTCCAGGCCCTGCCCAAGGCCAAGAGGCAGCCCTGCAGTTGGACTTGAGCCCTCTGTCATCCCTCTGCTTGTGACCATTAGGTGATGTCAACCTGCTGTCCTGGTTACCACACCTTCCCTGTATGCTCTACACTTTCCACGGTGTGACCAGTTTGTATTTGTTTTATTTTGTATTTGTCTCCCATATCTTGCTCTTCCTCTGAAGAATCCCATCTTTTGCCATCTCAAATTGAGAACCTAGACTATTTTTGCAGAACTGCCTGTCCTGCACAAGCAATACCTCTCATTCCAGCAGGACCAAGGGAGCCAGCCTCAGTGAGTAGTGAGTGACTTCCACAGCCACCTCTCACTCGAGAGTCAGGAGCCCTTTCAACCTCTGGCTCCGAGGCCAAGTGTGCTCACTTAAGGGTCCTTTCCTGTAAGGCAATCTTTGGCACACCTGGGCTTCCCAATGGCCCAGGTCATTTTTTTGCTTAATGGATTCTGGACTCTTTCAAAAGGATCTGATCCTTTTGAATTTTGCACAGCCCTAGATATAATCCCTTTTGATAAAAGGGTCTTTGCTCCTGATTACAGGAGCACGGTGGAACATCTGTAAATATGTTTTTATAATTCCATGTAAAGTTAGTGTACACTCAAACCAGTCCATGGCAGCTGCTGCTCTCTGTATAGGCCCATGATGGAATTCAGAAGGGATGGGGGGGTTGGAATGAGGGTTCCCTGTAGGCCAGTCTGGTGCTCAGACCTTTAGACTCATTGTAAGTTGCCACTGCCGACACGAGACCAAAGCGTGTGACTTGTCAATGTGCAGCGTGACAGCATTAAAGACTGATGCTAAACCTCAGGGGAGCAGTCCTGCGACTCTGTTTGAGGGCTCTGCTGATGGGGTGGGGGCTGGGCATCCCTCCAGCCAGGGCAGGAGGGAGGGGTTGGGTGAGAGGCAGGAGTCCTCTGCGAAAGAGAGATAACTCTCCCCTCCTGGGCTCCATGTGAGGTGGGGAGTGTCAACCCACCCAGACTTTGCATCCAGACATCCAGAGACCCCACTGGATTCAGAGCTTGTTTTTTGTGAAGGTTGGGGCCAAAATTAAGCATTTCCCCTTCCGGTCTTCGGGGGCCTGGGGGCAGTGCGTGGTCTGCCCTCTTAATCCTCCTCTACCCTTCTTTCTGGAACGGGCTGGGCTGCCAGGCAGACCCTGGCCAGGCCTTACTAGGATTCCCGGCCTTCGCTGGCTGCCTTCCCTGGAGAAGACCATTTCCTGTCCTCCCTTTATTTGCAGGCCACTGAAACTGCTTTTACTTTGTAACTTTTTTTAAGGAACTGGTTTTACTATAAGGTAAGTAATTACACAGGCTGGAAACAATGTGTTGCTACTTTGCTACAAAAAGTCAATAAAAATAAGACCATATTAAAGTCAACCTAGGAGTGTTTTTTTTCCTTCCCATTAAAACAATTTAACTACTGAAAACAGTCTGAGACCACTGTCCAAAAAAACTTTGTAGTGAAGGGAATGTTCTGTCTTTAAATGGAAGTTAAATTCAATAAAATTAAAAATTCAATGTCTCAGTCTCTCCAGCCCCACGTTTCAAGTCCCCAGCAGCTGCACATGGTTAACAGCAACTATTAGCACAGACTAGAGTAGAGGACTTTTCACCAAAATCTAAGAAATTGGCCTCTCAGAAGAGCAGCCACATTGAGCCATTCTAGTTGGGAAGTGACCCCCAGATAGAGCGAAAAAGGACCTTGTCACAAGAGATTACTGAACTACCTCAGATACCAAGAAGACACTTAATGTAGAACTGAACCTGCCCTCAGACAGGGTCACCATCTCCAGGGCTACCAACCCCCTGCTCTCAGTATCCATTTATGTAGCAGGTTCCTGTGAACGTAATATCCAGAACTGCACAGTCTGAATGTGCTCACAGTAATGGGAACTTCGGAAGCAACCTACCAAGGGTGGATTCTTCAGAGCAGTGATTATGGTAAAAAAGACAAAAAGGATTCAAGTAGAAAGAGAGCCTGCTTTTCAGGTGTGCACTATTTTGCCCATGCTGGGCCTGGATGTGTGTCCAGAGGTGTTTGGGGGGTCCACTAGCAGACCACTCCTTCCTGGGCTGCCCTTTAGGGATTCATTTTCCTGTTCTCATGCTGCCTTCCTGGGCATGTTTTGGAGTTCCTTCCCTGTCAGTACGTGCAGAGCTACCCCTTTGACCAACCTCATCTTACTGCATTGCACCAGTAGTGTCGCATTTTTGCATGATTTAAACACAGTACAAAACTCAAAATGTTATCTAGCCTGTGGTGAGAAGTCAAGTCTCCTCCCACCTCTGGGCCTGCAGCTCCCTTTCCCTCCGTGCCAGTATGGACAAGCCATGGCATCAGAGATTTTTTAAAACATGTTTTGTGCATCCCCAGAGCATGCTTATATAAGCATAAGCATAATTTCTAAATTTTTGTTCAATTGTTGGCTATGTAATCACAGTACCAAACTTGCAAGGGCACAGAGTGAAAATCCTCGCACTGTGCTATACAAGTCCACCCCCATCGAATATTCCCAGTGTCTTGTGTGCCTTCCCTGAGATGCTATGTGAGTGCATCTGTTTTTATACAAATAGTACATATCGTACACTCCGCATTTTTTCCCCTTAGGTGGGAAATAAAGAGCTTCCTCATTACTGTTACTCTACGCCTTTATTCTGCCGTGCCTACCCACAGAGGTGTGAAGATCAAGGTCAGTGTTTGGTGGTCCCTTACTCTCCCCTAGCCATTGCTCCTGCTTCCAGGTTTGAGTCCCAGCTCAACCACTTTCTAGCTTTGTGATCTTGGACAAGTGACAACCTCTCTGTGCCTCAGTTTCTTCAACTGTGTAACAGGCATAATAATACAGTAGGTTCCCCCATATCTGTGGTTTCTCTTTCCATAGTTTCAGTTAACACAAGTCAAACACAGTCCAAAATATTAGATGAAAATTCCAGAAATAATTCATAAGTTTTAAATTGCATGTCATTCTGAGTAGTTCAAGGAAGTCTCGTGCCAACCCGCTCCGTCCAGCCCAGAGCTGAATCATCCCTTTGTCCAGCACAGCCACACTATACACGCTCCTCTCCTCCCCACCCATTAGTCACTTAGTAGCCATCTTGATTATCAGATCAACTGTCATGGTATCTCAGTACTTGTGTTCAAATAACACAGTATTTTACTTAATAACAGCCCCAAAGGACAAAGGTAGTGATGCTGGCAATTCCTATATGCCAGAGAGAAGCCATAAAGTGCTTCCTTTAAGTGAAAAGGTGAAGGTTCTCAATAACAGAGACCACATTCACATAACTCTTATTACAGTATATTGTTATAATTGTGCTATTTTATTATTAGTTATTGTTGTTAATCTCTGACTATGCCTAGCTTATAAATTAAATTTTACCATAGGTAGTTATGTATCGGGGGAAAAAACAGTATATACAAGGTTTGGTACTACCTGTGGTTCCAGGCATCCACTGGGGGTCTTGGACTGTATTTCCTGTGGATTAGTCCGGGACTACTTCAGTACCTCTTCTAGGGTTGTAAAGTAGTTCTAGATACAGGTACACACAGCCCAGGGCCTAGTGTAGAGCCAGCACTGTGTGTCAGTTATTAGCATCACTACATCCTTACGTGAAGCTCTCTTAGCCCACAGTCTATAACCCCAAAGACCGAGGTGTATCCCAGGTCTTTTAGGTCAAGTGCTCTTAGCTGAGCTTTTTGTTGTTGTTAAATATGTTTTTATTGATTTTATTTTATTATTTTTTAATATGTCTTTATTGATTTCAGAGAGAGAAGGGAGAGTGAGAAACATCAATGATGAGAGAGTCATTGATCGGCTGCCTCCTACACCCCCCTACTAGGGATCGAGCCCTCAACCGNATTGATTTTATTTTATTATTTTTTAATATGTCTTTATTGATTTCAGAGAGAGAAGGGAGAGTGAGAAACATCAATGATGAGAGAGTCATTGATCGGCTGCCTCCTACACCCCCCTACTAGGGATCGAGCCTGCAACCCGGGCATGTGCCCTGACTGGGAATCAAACTGGTGCATGGGACGACACTCAACCAACTGAGCCACACCAGGGCTTGTCTGAGCTTTTTAAAAATCAAATTCCCAGGCAAGTTGCTAAGACCCTCAGCTCAAGCCCTGGCCCCTGCCCAGCTCAAGGACACTATCTAAAGCAGGCTCACTCCCCTGCTATCTTGCAGCAACCTGCTCACAATTCCTGGGCTGAGCCATCCTGGCTCTAAATCCTGGCTCTTCCACTCTGCTATTGAGTGTCCTTGGGCAAGGAACTTCATTTCTCTGAGTCTCAGTGGCTTCCTTTGACCACCAGGGACAATGAAGGTACAAATTTCATGGAGTGTTGTGAAAACTGGGCGAGGCAATATATTAGGAGGCAAAACAAATGGCTAATAACTTGGTTTCTGGTGGTTGGCTGTGCCGAGTTCAAGTTCTGCTCACTGCATTCCCCAAGAAAAATGATGAAACCTCTCAGAGCCTTGGTTTCCTCCCATGTGAAACAGGACTAATCATAGAAGTCACTCTTTCTCACTCCCCCAGAGCAAGAACTCAGCTAGCCACAAGCCTGGCCCAGATCAAGTGTGTAATTAACATGGACAACCTTTCTAAAGCACTTAACCTGCTTAAAACCTGCTCTCGGTCTCCTTGAATGCTACTTATTTTCATTAGATTCTAATTATTGAAGCACACCGCATAGTGCCTGACACATTATAAACATTCATTCAATAAACATTTATTGAATACCTACTGTGTGCCCAGCCTTGTTCTTGATGCTGGGGACACAGCAGTGAACAAAACTAGACAAAATTCCTGTGTTTGCAGAGCTAACAAGTCGGGGGGGGGGGATAATTAAGAGTAAATAAAGCATTAAATATGCTAGATAGTGATGAGAGTGATGAAGAAGTATAAAACAAGTGGTTAGAGAATGTTATAATTTTAAGTAACAAAGTCAGCAAATACCTCACTGAGAAGGTGACATTTGAGCAGAGACTTGAAGGAGGTAAGGGGGAAAGCCAGGTGGAGAGTGAGGGAATAGCATTCCAGGCAGAGGGAGCAGCTTGTGCAAAGGTCCTGAGGTAGGAGCCTGCCTGAGTTGTATAAGAAACAGCCAGGAGCCCAGTGAGACCACAGCAGAGTGAATGAGGAGAGAGTGAGAGGAGGGGACATGGGAGGAGAGAACAGTGGGGGTGATTGGGCAAATGGTGTAGAGGGGGCTGGGGCTGTAGGGAGAACTTTGGCTTTTCCTCTGAGTGAGGAAGGTTTTAAGATTGCGAGGTTTTGGCTTTTTGTTTTGACTTAATTTTTCTTTGCTGGGGGTGAGGAGGTGGAGTGTTATTTAACTGTAAGATAACTTCAAGTCCCTGAAATATGTCATCATCAGTCTCTTGAAATTTCAGTGTACCAACCTTCCATCTTAAAATAGCACAACACGAACATTAGGCATCTATATTTTCTATTAGAATCTAGCCCTTAAAGTGCAGGGACTCCTGTTCCCTCCCACAGACCTGAGAACACTTTCACAGTCTGCTGATTCCATACTTGTCCAAGATGGGGTGGGGAAGGGAGACTGAAACTCTGTGATTATTCAGTCAGACATCTCTTTTTTTTTTTTTCTCTAAATATGTTCTTGTTGATTTTTAGAGAGAGAGGAAGGGGGAGAGGGAGAGAGAGAAACTTCAATAAGAGAGAGAAACATCCATCAGCTGCCTCCTGCCCACTCCCTACAGGGCATTGAGCCCAAAACCCAGGCATATGCCCTGATGGGAATCAGTGGGTAGGATGATGCTCCATCAACTGAGCCACACTGGCCAGAGCAGACATCATTCCCTTTTTGTCATGAGGGGAAGAGAGACAATCCTGGAACACTCAAGAAGGTCCCCCTCCAGAGCCAAGTTTCCTTGAGGTCACCACAATCTTTGCATCCCCAGTGCCCAAAGTGACACCTGGCCCAGAAGTGACCCTCTGAGTGTTTGTTGAATGAGTCATTGAGTGACAAAGTGATTCAGACAAGAGGATCTGCAACATTTGTTCTATGACCACTCACATCAGGGAGTATGCAGAGGAAGGACAACCCAGGCTGGGGCTCTGCTGGGGTTCCCCAGGAAGGGCCTCCCCCTCCAGCTCCTTCAACCCCTACCTGGGAGGAGTGGATGTTCTCTTTGGCTCCAGAAAAGCCCCTCTTTCCTGGGCCCTGCACCTACTTCATGAGTCATGTATTCGTCATTGGGTACAGCTCCTGAGGGCCAGCTCAACACTAGGCGGAGGGGATCCAGTGAGCAACAAACGCAGCAATCTGGGGTACCTTGTGAAACTCAGTCTTCTGGGAAAATACAGACCTCACTATAACAGAGGTTTTAGTGTCCTGAGGCTG